ATTTTGCATTCAGAACTCTGTAAATAAGGGAAATACATATTTCAGTGGCTTTGGCAATAGCACAAGTTGACAGTAGATAACCACAGCCCTATGGGAGACTTACTTATCTCGGTGAATTCGCCTTGTTGCCCTCGTGCTGGGGAGAAAGGAATGCTTCCTTTTTGTGAATGGCCTCTGGGCTAACTAGTCTGGATAATTCTTCAGTATCATGTAGCCTAGACTTCTTTAAGTGGGATGTTTTTAATAACTCACCTTTTTGTTATAATAGTGGGAAACAAATTAAACTCATTGCTGTTACTGGAATCCCAAGTTGTCAAAGGCCAGTCTATAGAGCGTCTGGAATCGATCCGCTTCTGAGCTTGGTGTTGTGACTAGTGCCTGTGCTGCCAGTGCTGACTGCCAGTTTGCACCTTTCCTTTTCCTGATTGAAATGGGTTAGTTTCTCTTTTTAAATTTTGTTACAGCTTTAGTGAGGGAAGTAAAAAAAAAAGTACATTTATATTTACGTACCTTATATGCAGCCTTTATTTAGGTTCAAGGAAACCAGGTAGCTCCAATTGGTGTTGCAGCTTAAATGTTATTTATTGCACATGTTTATTTCCTTAATTAAAAAGTAAGGTTCTTATATTAATTTTGTGAGTATATCTTAACTTTATCATTATCCAGTGTAGGTTTGATAGATGTATCTGAGAACCTGTATGTGACAGCAGTTCACATTCCATGATAGGGAAAAGGGCAGAGGCCCATAGAAAGCACAAAATCCTGTCCACACGTGTGTCTCCACATGTAGAAAGCACAAGAGTAACGGTACTCAGTATCCCACAAGTGCCAGCCATAGAACCCGCCAGGGTTTGGGTTAGGATGGGACCACAGTATTGAAAGCCCTCGACAATGACGTATGGCTTCCAAAGGATAGCAGTTCAGTCTGATCATCGGAGGAAGTTTGTATTTTGGTGGAGGGAGAGCATACAAATGTCAGTAATGCTACAGTTTTATTTGAGGATCACCAGCTACAGTGGGGTCTGTGGGCTCTTTCCCACAATCTGGAAGCAAAGAAGCAAGGACAGACTTGGTTTTTGGTGGGTGGAACGGCTTGACAAACTTGTGCTGTAGAGCTATTGGAGGTTGGATGGTTTATTTGTTTTAATCTTAAAGCTTAAGGATATTTAATCTCCCATGAATACTGCCCCTGAAAATGTGGAGAAATTCCCTATTTTAACAGGGCAACTCCCACTTGCCTTTCATCTTTCTGTAGGTTTGTGTGGAAGGGGTGACGTTACCTTGACTTTCGCTCTGCTTGATGGCACTTCATGTTAATAGAGCAGAATTTCACCCAGGTGTTCTAGCACCAAACTAATTCTCAGAGCTCCCAGATGAGCTCCTTGCTTTTCACAGTGGCTGTGAGGATCTGCAGGGTTCTTTTGCCTGACCCATTCCCTGCTTCAAGACCAGATGAGATGCAGTCAGTGAATGAGTGAGCAAAAGAAGAAACGCTGTGTTTGGTTCTGCTTGGCATTGTCCTTACCTTACCCTGACTTTCTCTACCTGAATAGTTCCTGTTTATCAAGAATAAATAAGGAGCCCGGCTGACATGGCTCAGTGGTTGAGGGTCGACCTATGAACCAGGAGGTCACAGTTCGATTCACGGGGAAGGGCACATGCCTGGGTTGTGGGCTCCAGCCCCAGTGTAGGGTGTGCAGGAGGCAGCCGATCCATGATTCTCTCATCATTGTTTCTCTCTCTCTCTTTCTCTCTCGCCCTCTCTCTCTATCTCTGAAGTCAATAAAAATACTTTTTGAAAAAAGAATGAACAAGGATATCTTTGTCTTGGATTTTGCCTATTGTCAAAAGATAAAACTCAGAATGGGGAGAAGTAACTACCATTGCTCCCACTCTGTTTTGTATGTTTGTCTTGGTGAACTCTGATACTCTGGGATGGGATTGAAGCTGGGTACACTAATGTGACGGCTGCTAGGAGGGTTCACCTGACACCTGGAGGGAAAGATTCTCCTCCCGCAGGAAGTAGCGGGCATCCCTCCACTTTATCTGGAAGGTAAAGCCTCAGGCTTCGGGCTGAGAGAGGGGAGCGCCAGAAAGGCAGGACAGAGGACAGATCTGAGGAGCACCTTGGCCAGCAGCCGGTGGTCAGGCAAGGCAGCTAGGCCCTGGTCGTCTCTTGTAGTATGTTCTCTGCACGTTACATGTTGCTTCTAAACGCAGGTGTGTGTGAGAACTTAATGCTGTGCAAGATTCTTTTGTCAGAATATCTTTTGTTTATAATTCCATGAAGATTGCTTTAATTAGTCTAGGTGAAGGAGGCCTCGCTGTGTAAATATGTATAATAGAAACTCCTGATTTCACTGTGAGATCTCTAACTTTTGAGTGGCAAACAGATCAACAAGTCTTTTGCTCATGGATTTTTCTGTGGGGTTATTACAATACAAAAGCTTTATTTTTTTTAATAATGACATGTTACGTTAGATGATGGTATGGAATCGTTCCCTGCTTCCCCACCAGTACTGCTTCTGTGTGTGGATTGCCAACAGAGTTCAGAAATAGAGCGGGATTTGCCATTCTTTGCTTGGACATCCTGTTTTCTGTTGCCCAGACACAGGTTGGCAATCACATGAACCGTGTTGGCTTCTCAGTGCTTTTTGTTTGTTTGATGAGGTGGATTTCAAACCCAGTTGCTGTGCAAAGGTCAGTAGTCTTCTTCAGAAGAAACCAACTCCTGTGTAGTGTCCAGTGAGATGCTGCCTCCATCTCTTCACTCTCAAGCCAGTGTCCGCGGAGCACTGCTGCTTTGTCTGATGACTTGGATGTGTAAGTATTAACGCGTTTTTAGAAGACGTCCACATTGAAAATGTCTTCCCAGTGTCCTGCCTTTATGCTTCCTTCAGACTCCTGTTGAGAGACCCGCCTGCGCACTGGGGTGTGTAGTGTGTATTGTGTACATGTATCAACTCATCACTTATTCATTGTAGACCAAATGGAATCATAAATGAATGTGCTGAATTATTGGTGAGTTTTTTGAATTGTAAATAGATTTTCAGTGTACCCTTCATTGTCTACAGCTTTTGTTTTTTTAAAGGTATATAACTAGTTGGGTCCATCTCATACAATGTTTTAGTTATAAGCAGAAAGTAGAATTTGATTAAACCAGGTTATTTACATATTGAAAGGAATACAATTGAGATTGTAGATTTAGGATTGTTAACCATACATGACAGTTCTAGCTTGACTATTTTAGCCTACTGTATACAATCTGATTTATAAAATTGTAGACATGTATGATCTTGGTTTCATGTGTTTTTAAAAGTGTTATTGTTTAAAAAAAGAAAAAAAAAAGCAGATCTGCTGAAGAGCTGTCAGTTCTCATCCCTGACTCTGTAGAATACACTGTTCTCTGTGTACTGTGTCATTTTGCCAGCTGCTGCGTTCGCCTTCAAAAGTATTTGGAAACTTAAGATGAACTACATTTCTTGCAAAGTATATTCCTTTCTGTGGTATTTTTGTCCTGTAACTGAAGTATAGTAATTATTTTATGGAAATGTTAGCACTTATGTACCAACTTTGAATAAAATGAAAAATTGACATTTCTGTGGCTGAGTGTTTTCCGTGTGAACATGTGTCAGTTTGCGGTGTGTGGTCTCAGAGTGGGGTTTGTACACTGTTCCTCTCCTTGGCCCTGCCTGGCCCAGTGAGGGCCCGCTCCCGCTGACCTGTGTGAACACGGGCTCACAGGCCGTGACTGAGAATTGAGGTACATGTAGCTCAGCGAGGAAATAAAAATATCCATCGTGTTCTTGACTTCTAGTTTTGAAATGATTTCAAGGTGTAGGAAAGTTGTAAGAATAGTGTAAAGAAGCCAGGGATCGTCATCGAGGTTCACCAGTAGCTGATTTAATGTTTGGCCACATTAGCGCTGGCATTTTCTGAACTGTGTGAGCCTAAGGTGCAAACATCATTCCCCTCCCCCACTCAGTACATGGGGGCGTATTTCCTAAGATAAGGACAGTCACTCATCTAAATGCTATACAATTACCCAAATCTGGAAAGGAGTAGTGGCGCACTTCTAAAATGTATTCAAACGTTGCTTTTTCAATTATGTCCTTTTATAGCAAAGTTTGGTGGTTGTTTTTAAGTTCAGAGGCCAGTCCGTGGCATTAGTGTTCGCACTTGTCTCCTGTAGTCTGGGTCGGTTTCTCGACCTGTCCTGTCTCTCAGGGAGGGAAGTGTTTGACGTTTGGAGGACAGTCATTCTGCAACTGCCCCCTCAGGTGGGATCTGTGCTTCCTCAGGATTAGAGTCACTGGATTTGGGCAGGAAGACAACAGAAGCACTACATCCTCACTGCTTCCCGTCGGGGGGCGTGCGACATGTCCCATTATGGTTGACAGCAGGTTGGATACGTGGTTTAGATCAGCATCGCCAACCTTTCGGACCTCATGGGCCACCAGTGGTTCGTGGACCCCGGTTGGCGACCGCTGGTTTAGATGGTGTCTGCCCGGTTCTCCGCTGTCAGCCTACTCTTGCCTTTTGGTAATAAGTAATTTGTGGGGAGATCATTGGAGACTATAAGTGACTTGTTCCTCATTAAACTTGAATCCCTGCCTTCAGCATCCATTGGTAATTCTTGCTTAAGTTATTACTATGATGGGGCAAAACTGATTCTTTAAGTTTTTTTGGATAATTTTGAGGCAGTTGATATCCCCTTTTGCATGTGGCCTCCGAATTGAATGTAGACTCCAGGTGAGGCTGTTGCTCTTAGAGACTGTGGGGAAGAGAAACAGATCGGGCAAAAGGAGGGCGGCCACACCCTGACTTTCCTCCCAGTTCTGCTTTGCGGGCTC